TCCAGTAGCTAAGATCACTACTGTTAGGTTTCTTGTTGCATTAGCATCTCTCAAAAATTGGCACATCCATCAACTAGATGTTAATAATGCATTCTTGCATGGTGATCTAAATGAAGAAGTTTACATGACTCCCCCCCTGGCTACTGTTCTGAATCTGAGACAAAAGTTTGCAAATTGACAAAAAGTCTTTATGGCTTGAAACAAGCCTCAAGACAGTGGTTTCAAAAGTTAACATCATGTTTGTTGTCTTATGGTTTTACTCAGTCAATTGCAGATTGTTCCCTTTTCTATATGAATGATTCAGTTTCTGTTACCATCTTACTTGTCTATGTTGATGATATCATTTTGACTAGTAACAACATGCATCATATCACTGCCATAAAGAAACATTTAGATGATTGCTTTACTATCAAAGATTTAGGCAAACTCAAGTATATTCTAGGACTTGAATTTGCTCATTCTGAACAAGGCATTCATATGTGTCAAAGAAAATATGCTCTAGACATCTTAACTGACACAGGTCTTCTTGCTTGCAAACCTGCATTAACTCCTATGGATTCATCTCTGAAATTAAGTAAGAATGATAATTCACATGCTCTTGATAATCCATCTGAATTCAGAAGACTTGTAGGTAGATTATTATATCTTACTATCAGCAGGCCAGACATAGCATACTCTGTTCAATCTTTAAGCCAATATATGTCACAACCTACTGCACAACATCTTCACTCAGCATAGAGAGTGTTAAGGTATGTCAAGGGCACTATTGGACAAGGTATACTCTTTCCTAAATCTTCTAAATTACAGCTCACAGCATATTGTGACAGTGACTGGGCTTCTTGCATTGATACTAGAAAAAGTGTGACTGGATATTTGATATTTCTTGGTGACTCACTTATATCTTGGAAATCAAAGAAACAACCAACCATAAGTAGATCATCTGCAGAGGCTGAATATAGAGCCCTAGCATCACATCATGTGAAATACAATGGCTATCTTCTCTTTGCTCTGAATTACAGTTGTCACTTACTACACCTGTTCGCCTTTTTACAGATAGTAGTTCAGCTATTGCTATGGCCTCTAATCCTGTTTTCCATGAAAGAACAAAGCACATCGAGCTGGATTGCCACTTAATAAGAGAGAAGATAGCTCAAAGGCTCATCCAACTTAAGCACATTCCCACCAAATCCCAACTAGCAGACTTCGTAACAAAAGCTCTTCCAGGCCCTCTGTTCAAATCTCTCCTCTCCAAGTTGAGCATGCCTAATATCCATGCTCCACTTGAGGGGGGTAATAGAATAGTTGTACATAGAGCTTTCATTGTTGTACTACACTTTTAGTTATTTCTGCATTGTAAAAGTGTTACTTGCTATTTAACACTTTATGTTTAGCATAGTTATATATAAGGGCAGAAACCCTAATATCCCAAACACTTTTCACTTCATCTTCCTCAGATAATACAACCGTTTGGTTTTCTCTTTGTGTTCTATACACTTTACTGTTCAAATTCCTCTAATAAGTTCTTATCACTTTATCAGTAGTTTATCAGTAGTTTATTTTTTGTATGCGCTCTCTATTTGGATGAAATTGGACGTTGATGAGATTGAAGAAAGCATTTAGATATTGATTGGATTATTAAGTTGTGCTATTGATAATTTATTTGGGGCTTAAAAATAATCTAATTTATTTTATGACTGATATTTTATTTGATATAATATTGTGGATTATTGATAGTTTATTTGGGACTTAAAAATAATTTCTAATTTATTTTATTATTGATAGTTTATTTGATATAATATTGTGGATTATTGATAGTTTATTTGGGACTTAAATAATTTTCTAATATATTTTATTATTGATAGTTTATTTGAGGAATATAGTATTTTTTATTTTATAAGTTTATTTTCTACTCTTAATATTTTTTATTTTTTTTTTATATATCGACAAATATCTTATTTGTAGTTTATCTTATACTCCCTCCTATTCAAAATAAATGTCGTTTTGAGAAGTTGCACAATAATTAAGAATATTTTTGTTGTCAATAAAAACCCTATTTAATGAAGATAGAGATGAATGTTTTGAGAAAAAAATGAAGAGTGAATATGGAAAGACGTAGTGTATTTATTGATTCAATGAGAGTAATAATGGGAAAAACATGTACAAAAGACCTAAAACGACATTTATTTAGTTAATAGTTGATAAAGCCAAAATGACATTTAAAAAGAATAGGAGGTAGTATGAACTCTTATAAATGGGGACAAAATTTATGTAAGAGAGAGACTGAGTTTAAGAAATGGAAGGAGGAGAGAAAAGAGGACTAAAAAATTATGGAATATGTAGTTTGTGTGGTTTGTGAATATAAAAAAGAAGGCTTAAGGAGAATGAAGAAAACGAACAAAAATCAAAGTCGAGGCACGTAATAGTTACGTTCTCCTTAAGACGAAATTGCCCCTTAAAATACCCACGGTTTAACGGCAAACGCCTCCAAGATACAACGACTTTCGACTTGTATATAGCGGTACTTCAAATATACAAGCCTTCGGCGAACACTACTATTGTTTGGAACTCTCAAGACTCAATGGAAAAATCATAGACCACAATATGCTATATGATCTTTGAAAATAATGCAAGAGCTCTCTAATTTTGATGTTATGAATGATTTCATGTTAGTGGGTATTTATAGATGTAGGGAAACACCTCCAAGAGGTTTAAGTGTCAAAAGACACCTTTTGGGACGTGTCTGAACGAGAGCGGATGCATCTAGTGGCCAAAAGATACCTTATGGTCACCAAGGGTTGTGACCCTTTGATTTCCACAGCCAGTTGCGCGCCCGTTCGCCGCGGACTCGTACAAGCTCATACAGACTCGATATCGAGTTTCGTTTTTTTCATACTTGTCCCCAACGAGCCCCTCTGCAATTCTAGCATACATAATGCATATTTATGGCTCGTTTAGTTTGTCCAAACATTTATTAAAATATAATATTTGTGAACCCTACAACCTTTTGAGTTATTTAAACTCAATTAATTAAAATATAACACTTAGAATTAATTTCTCATTCACCTTAAAAAGGTTTTGAGAATTTTCTAAGTCTTCTACTTACGAAAAATAGAAGCGTTAAATCGGTACAAAACCAATTTTTTCTTACAATCCCCCACATGAATGAAATTAATGCATGTATGCAATACTTGAGAGTTCCGGCGAACCATCATTGCATCAGGATAGATAGCTTGTGGCTTTGAATCTTCCTTGTGAAATACTATCGGATACACTAGCCAGTTAGTAGCGCGATGCTTTGAACTTACCGGTTGTTTGTGTTCACCAAGACAATAGTACTCACACAATAACAACTCTAACAATTTCTTGTTCTCACGTTGTGTACATTTCGGCCTTGGACCATATATCAGTTTAGTAAGCGTTCGATTGAAGCGACCTATTTACTTCTCACTTACAAAGGTGATTATCCCATAAAGAGTATCCTGCCTTACTCCACCTATAGGTATAAGAATCATTAAAAGTCCTTGACTTAACCTCACCACTTAGGCAGATTTTTTAACACTTGACGGTTCTAGAAATGAGCATAAATTTTTCAAGTGTTTCACTGAGTTGTCAAAACTTAGTTTTCCCATTGAACCAAGGTTTCGGGATCTCTTATTCTCATGGTTGGGTTACCGCTAAGACCGTTCGTTTGTTGTGGATTTTTATTAAGCTCATTCCTCAAACCAGTTTGTACAATTTATCTCGTTTCATGCTTTATATATAAACGAATCCGTTAGGTTAATCTTTAACTTCACATAATCAATCGATATAACCCCCACACGAGATAATTTTCTTATAAAATTAAGTATCTGACGTCTATATCTAGACTTACTATTGTACAAACTACTTTGTACTCTTTTAATTTTTTTATTGTTAAATAATTATCACCATGAGCACAATTTATTCCACCTAGAAATATCTTTTAGAAAATTTCTAAGTCATTAGCTTCTTCCACGCCTTTTGTCCAAATTTATAAACTTGAACTTCATTGTGGATATAGCTTTATACTTAGATTATTTTCATGACACTACTCTACCCATCTAAAGTGAACACTTAGTCACTTTTAGTCTTAGAGTTTTTCATGTCAAATACTCGATTCAACGTGATCAAAATTCATTGCTCGAGTTTTTCATGAACTGATAGAGATGCCAAAAATAAGGTTGGAAAACAATGGATTGTTTACTCAAGGAAAGGGAAAGCTGGAAAGGAATAAATAAGATATGGGAATAAAATCAGTAATGCAATATGGGAGGCATGAATAAGGGGATTTAGATTGATTCCTGGAGAGAATGGAAAGCTATCAACTAGTTATCTTACCTTATATTTAATATCCTGTTACTTTATATAGATAATAGTAATAGTCTTATTAAAGGGAGTGAGGAAGTGAGAATGAGGGCAGGAAGAAATAATCTTAATAGCTAAGCTATTGGGCAAGTTATCTTGCTGGGAAGTTTTACACTTCTGATGTTTCTTCTTTCATAATAAATTTGTCTATTCATCCATTTTTCTTTTAATCTCTAATTCTCTGATCCTTTACTCCTAACAATTGGTCCGACCTGCCACTACGAATGACACGCATGGACTCTCGAGTCGAAGCCACGGAGAAGGGTCAGGAAGTGCACGAGCAACGCCTCAATAAAGTCGAGGAGGCCATCTCCAAACTTACGGAGTTGGTCAACCAATTTTTGTCAGTCAAGCATAACAGCAGCGAAGGGAGCGACACCTCCCAAGTCGATCACATCAGCATTCCTAAAACACGCGCCCCACAAGATGTCCACCTCGGTACCAAACGAACTGAGATCCCATATTTTGATGGAACTGACCCACTTGGCTGGTTGTCTAGGGCTGAACAATATTTTACCATCCACAACACGCGAGACGAGTTACGAGTTCCCACTGCTATTATTAGCATGGAAGGGCCTGCCCTTCATTGGATGAGATGGCTACAACAACAACATCCCATGCTGACATGGTCGCAACTCAAATCTGAACTAATGGAGCAATTTGGTGGCGATTTGTCTGCCCCACCAATTGAGTTGTTAGCTGCTCTTCGTCAAGTTGGTTCGATGGATGAATATTGCAATGAGTTTCATGTTCGGGCTGTCCATATCTCTGGGATACCCTCTCATATCCAGTTAGGGATGTTTCTGAATGGGCTCAAGGAAGAGATCCGTGTTCGTTTTTGCCCAAACGATGCTACTGATTTACGGACAGCAATGCGGGTTGCACGCTCCATTGCTCGTGAACTCGATTTCCTGCACCAAGACAAACATAATATTCAATCTGCAGGAGTGACGAGGTGGAGCACGGGTTTCGGTTTGGGTTGGACTCTAAGCCCAACGTCCGCCAATGCAAACTTGTCTAGTCCAAGCACACATCATCATCAGACAAACCACGCCACTCCTATGCCCAACAATTTCCATAAAACCACGAAGGGAAATATTCTTATGCCACCTTCTCAACCTCCAGGTGCCGGTATATCTTTTCAGCGAGATTCGGCTCCTTCAATTGTTCAAAAGGGTATTCGACGTTATTCTCACCAGGAATACCAGGACTTGCGTGCGAAAGGACTTTGTTTCCGATGCAAACAACCCTACAGCCCCATGCATGTTTGTCCAAATAAATCATTGTGGACTTTAATCGCAGCAGAAGATGAGGACACTAACACCGACGACCCACCTGGGGTATATACCACGGATGATGCCCCATTACACGTGTTGGACCTGCCCCTCTCTTCCATTGGAGGTATCGACCGCCCCCAAACAATGAAATTTCGCGGCCGGGTAGAACACAATGATGTGGTTATTATGATTGACAGCAGGGCAAGTCATAATTTTATCTCATCTGACTTGGCAACCAAGCTCAAACAACCTTTAGAGGCCACATCCCGTTTTGGTGTTCGCTTGGGCGACGGACACCAGTCTGAATCCTCCGGTAAATTTTCCAAACTTCCAATTCATTTGGGGCCTCTTACAATGACCGTGGATTGCTTCGCTTTTCCCTTGGGTGCTGTCGATTTAATTCTCGGGGTCACTTGGCTCGCATCTCTGGGCACTATTCGTGCTAATTGGGCTACAATGACAATGGAATTTGAAGACCATGGGCAGTACATCACGTTGACTGGAGACCCGACTCTTTCTCGCCTCCCAATCTCCTTTAACTCTGTCGAATATTTGAAAGATGTTGAGTATGCTGTCATCCTTATGGACATATCATCATTTCAGCTCAACACCTCTGCCATCATTGCCCCTCCTGGGCCCCAATCAACTCAATTGGAGGAGCTACTCAATGATTACTCGCAAGTCTTTGGTGAACCCGAGGGACTGCCACCGGTTCGACACAATGACCACAAGATTATTCTACAATCGGGCACAACACCATTTAGCGTTACACCGTATCGATATGGCCACACCCAAAAAGACGAGATTGAACGATTGGTAGGTGAAATGCTTGCAGCGGGTGTCATTCGACCTAGTGTCAGCCCTTTCTCCAGCCCGATTTTACTCGTGAAGAAAAAAGTTGGTAGCTGGCGTTTTTGCGTCGATTATCGTGAGTTAAACAAAGTTACAGTTGCAGATAAATACCCCATTCCAGTTATCCAAGAGATGCTCGACGAACTATATGGCTCCATATATTTCTCCAAGATTGATCTTCGATCTGGATACCATCAAATTCGAGTAGTGCCAGAGGGCATTTCAAAGACAGCCTTCCGTACTCATTCTGGCCACTATGAATTCCTCGTCATGCCTTTCGGTCTCACCAATGCTCCTGCTACCTTTCAAGCCACTATGAACGACATATTTCGCCCTCACTTGCGTCATTTTGTGTTGGTTTTCTTTGATGACATTTTAGTCTACAGCCCGAGCTGGGAAGAACATCTTAAACATTTATCAGTGGTTTTGAATATCTTACAGTTTCATGAGTTCAAAGCTAATCCGAAGAAATGTCAATTTGGTCAGTCTTCAGTGGAGTATTTAGGCCACATCGTTTCTCATGCCGGGGTGGCTATGGACCCTGCCAAAATCTCCAGCGTCCTCCGTTGGCCGGTACCTCGATCCTTAAAAGCAGTTCGTGGATTTTTGGGATTAACTGGCTATTATCGTCGATTTATTCGGCACTATGGCTCAATTGCCAATCCTCTCACCACACTCTTAAAGAAGGACTGTGTGGCTACGTTCCAATGGCCCGAGGCAGCACAATCTGCTTTTGATGCTTTGAAGAATGCCGTTACCACCTCTCCAGTCTTGGCCATGCCAGACTTCTCAAGACCATTTATTATTGAATGTGATGCATCGGGAACTGGGGTAGGAGCCGTTCTGCTGCAAGAACGCCGCCCCATTGCCTTCTTCAGCAAGGCCCTCTCTGGGAAGACTTTATCCAAATCTACCTACGAAAAGGAATTAATGGCTCTTGTGATGGCCATTCAACACTGGAGGCCATATCTCATAGGTCATCGTTTCATAGTACGGACTGACCACCGGAGTCTACGATACTTATTACAACAGCGTATCTCCACTCTGTCACAACAGAATTGGGTTGCTAAATTACTTGGTTATGATTTTGAAGTAGTCTATAAGCCAGGCTCCACCAATTGCGTAGCAGATGCCTTGTCTCGCAGTCACGATGACTTGCAACTTTCCGCTATATCCATCCCCGTGTGGTTGGATTGGGGTGCTCTCGAGTCTGCTATTTTGGAGGATTCAACGCTTCAACCACTCATTGCCCGATTGCATAAAGATCCTGATAGCTGCCCCCCGTACAAATTGATCAACGGTCGCCTCTTCTATAAGGGTCGTATTGTGCTTCCTTCTACTTCAACTTGGACCTCTCGACTCCTCGAGGAGTTCCATTCCACTCCAATGGGGGGGGCATTCAGGTGCATACCGCACATATCTTCGACTTGCTGCAAGTGTTTACTGGAAAGGAATGATGCGCCATGTCCAAAAATTTGTGGAAGAATGTATAGTTTGCCAGAAGAACAAATATGAAACCTTGTCCCCAGTTGGCCTGCTCCAACCTCTCCCTATTCCGACGGCGGTTTGGGAAGACATTTCCATGGACTTCATTACGGGTTTACCACGGTCTAGTGGGCTCGATTGCATTTGGGTGGTGGTTGACAGGTTTTCCAAATATGCCCACTTTCTTGGACTTCGACATCTGTTCACTGCTAGATCTCTAGCTGATCATTTTGCAAAGGAAATTGTCCGCCTTCACGGAGTGCCCAATTCGATTGTAAGTGACCGAGACCCAATATTTTTACCACTTTTGGACTGAGTACTTTGCAAAGATGGGGACAAGTCTTAAAATGAGCAGTGCTTACCATCCCCAAACCGACGGACAAACCGAAGTGCTCAACCGTTGTATTGAGCAATACCTTCGCTGTTTTGCTTCCGAACAACCTCGACAGTGGGGCAAGTGCCTTCATTGGGCAGAATACTGGTACAACACGACTTTTCAGGGAGTTGCTCAACGGACTCCCTTTGAGATTGTGTATAGCAGGACACCTCCAACCTTGCAACAATATTTACCTGGTGAGTTTCGGGTGGCAGCAGTGGCCGATGCTCACTATGATCGCAATGAATTACTCCGTCAGCTTCGTTTCAATTTGGAGAAAGCTCAACATCGCATGACAAAAATTGCAAATTGTACAAGGCGTGACATTGAGTTTAATGTGGGTGATAGTGTTCTTCTCAAGCTTCGTCCTCACAAGCAAAACACTCTTCTCAACAGATTGAACCAAAAGTTAGCCCCTCGATACTATGGTCCTTTCTTGATTTTGCAAAAGTTGAGTGCGGTTGCTTATAAGCTTCAGCTTCCATCTACCTCGAAGGTTCATCCGGTATTTCATATTTCGCAACTTAAGCCGGTGAAGGGTCACCATCTTGTTATCCAGGATATCCCTGACGGGCTTCAAGTGGAGGAGGTGGGCTACACACCATATGACATACTAGCGGTTCGTCAATTAACCACAACTACTGGTACCCACCACAAGTATTGGTCCAATGGGAGGGACGCACCAGTGATGACGCCACGTGGTTGGATCTCTCAGATTTCAAGGGGCAGTTTCATAATTCTAGCCTTGTGGAAAAGGCTATTTCTCTGGCGGGTGGTAATGATAGAGATGCCAAAAATAAGGTTGGAAAACAATGGATTGTTTACTCAAGTAAAGGGAAAGCTGGAAAGGAATAAATAGGATATGGGAATAAAATCAGTAATGCAATATGGGAGGCATGAATAAGGAGATTTAGATTGATTCCTGGAGAGAATGGAAAGCTATCAATTAGTTATCTTACCTTATATTTAATATCCTGTTACTTTATATAGATAATAGTAATAGTCTTATTAAAGGGAGGGGAAAAAAATTTTGACCAACCTGTACTATGCCTGTTTTTTGGCTTTGCAACCTAAAGTATTTTTTGTGTGAAAATGCAA